AGAGGGAAAACAACTACTGTAATATAATTATTTTAGCAGATTCGTTAGGAGAATCTGCGCAGTTTAACGTAGGCATAACAAATTAAATAATCAATAAATTATACACTTAGACCCAGTTAATGTAGATATGAACAGACGGACCGATAACTAAATGCAGTGTAATGATGTATTACAACGACCAAATAGAAAACACCACAAAAGTACACAAAGTGTTTCCGCCCGGTTTCGAACCGGGGACCTTTCGCGTGTGAGGCGAACGTGATAACCACTACACTACGGAAACTCAACTGATGCATGAGTTCATGTAAGTCCTGATAATTATATAGTAAACTAAAAGACTAAGGTTGTTATTAGATGCTGAGGCCGTAAATTAATCCAATCGAGCCCCATATGCTTCAGTTAGCTCCCACAACTATGCGAGTCCAAGGCTACTTTTTCCAAAACTTTTCTACGGTCGTCGAAGACTCTAATGACTTAAGACACTAGCAATGATCCTAGTTATGGCAGCATTTAATATCATTATTAAAAATAAATTTGATTATCTCTTATTAAGTAATCTCAGTCACTCTTACGCATGTGCGGTATGAAATACTACGGAAATAAAACAACTGCCGAAACCCGGGATCGAACCAGGGACCTTTAGATCTTCAGTCTAACGCTCTCCCAACTGAGCTATTTCGGCGTGTACAAGTCCGCCCACTTGAATATATTGCAGTACACTTCAACAAAAGGTTATTTGGCTCATGCATGAACCACAATCAAAAATAGAATTTAAGGCAAAATTCCTGTGAAGGAGCAAAACCATAAACCGTCTGGGGGTCCTGATTTGAGAATTACCCCTCTAGCTTATCCGGTATTGGGTAGGGTATATTTGGTTTGTAGTAATTTATAAATTTATGATAAACGATCCTGCGTAGCAATTGTGTCTGAAGGTCATTTTTGAAGCATTGCTTTTGCTCTCTTTAAACAAGGTTCTTCCTCGGGTTACGTGGAATTTATGTTATGTCAAGGTAAACCCATCTTCAGCGGGAAATTTTCCCTCCAGTAAAACAAAAGAAATCCTTGCGACGCAAATTGTACAAATGGACGATTTATTAACGGATACACAATAACATATAAATTACCGTCGATCAGGCCTCTATGCAATAATGAGAACAATCACCACAAAAATAAATGGTATAAAACTGACTGTAAAATTGCAAAGTGGACTGGAATAAGTTTTAAGTTCTTTCATCATTCATTCAGTGCCATTGCATAAAAAATGACATTGATTGTGGCTTCAGGAACTCCCATTTCACCCCATTTCTACTACAAACCACCAGCATTCCCTTCCCTGCTTCTTCCCCTACTGTCTCTTCGTCTTCTCCTTGCCCCTCACCTTATTGTCAGAAAGGGTCTGAGCAGATGAAAGGTTCGTCCAGGCATCCACAATCAGAAGCAAAGGAAGGACAATCCACAGCAAGTTCATGAATACAAAGTAAAACCAGAAGTAGATGGGGTGTCCCAGCTGACTGTGGGAGTAGCCTTCTCTGTGCTCCGTGTAGAAATACAACACTGCTCCGTACAGTTGGCCTGATGGGACAGATGCACTTAAGTATGAGGATATAAAGAGAAGAGACACACAGAGGTGGCCAATCTTATTCACAAAGGGCCAGTGTGTGCAAGTTTTTAAAATAACCTTTAGGTTAGGGGTCTCCAACTCCGGTCCTGGAGAGCTACCGTCCAGTAGGTTTTCTATCCTACCTGGCTTCTGATGAGCCACACCTGTTCTCAGGTAAATACCTGGGCCTGGTGTGGCTCATCAGAAGCCAAGTGGGACAGAAAACCTACTGGATAGTAGCTCTCCAGGACCGGAGTTGGAGACCCCTGCTTTAGGTCAACTGTTCAAACCAAGGTGTGAGGACTCTTCAGCCAATCAGTAATCTAATTAGGGAATTGCAACAAAAATCCACATACCCAACGACCCTTTCTGGATAACATTGGCCACCTGTCTTAGACTAATCGAACACATGCTACTTATTTTAATAGCCACCTATACTTTATGACAGAGGGTCAGTGACTGTGTGGGCAGTGTGTATATACATAATGAAATATAAAAACTTGCATTTTCAACAGAAACACGCTATATGGCTAAATTATCAAACACCCACTAATTAAATGTTCTCTTCACTTCTGATCTCACCTAAGGAGACGATCAGCTGAAGAACAAAGCGATAGGGGTGGTTGTAGAGAAATGCCAGGACAATCCAGACACTGAAGGGTCCCCAGAAGACTGCTGTCACAGTTTCCATGCATACAGTGAAGTTGTCCGCTCTGTAAAGACAGTCACCAGCCACAGCCACATTAAAAAAAAAAAAAAAGTCAGATGTCAAATGGAGCAACGGACAAAAAACATACTGCGGGAGTCCATGGAATGGAACCACCATCCAAAACCGTTGCTATTCACCACACAATGATTAAGAAGCTTAATGTACCTACATGACATATCTGCTGTCCCCTTTTGAATATTCTTTCCCTGTAAGATAAACAGCTTTGATTACACTTTCAGTAGTACCTGTATCACCTTCCTTCTCCACATATCAATTACTACTATCACACCTAGTCACATATGTAATGTCAGGACTGACCAGCATAGTTTCACTTACACAGCTGAGAGAGGAAACTCTGATCAGAAGGTATGATGGAGTAATATAAGCAGAACCACCCCTCAATTATCCCGTGGATGAAGCCACATACGGCAAACCAGCACAGAGCTAGCCTTCGAGCAACCGAAAGCCTCCTGCCTGCCCCAAGACCAGCAACTTCCCGCCCTGTCACCATCCAGGTGACAAAAAGCAGCAATCCCGATACTGAGAAGAGGAAGGTAAGGATCTCAGCCATGGACCGATCATTTTCAATGTAGTTTGGGATGGACAGACTGCGTGGCCAATACGGGTGCCCCTTATCAGTCCCCTCTGCCTTGGTGTATACTTTCTGCAAGTGAAAAATCACATCAAATTGTTGTAATGTACTACATCATAATTTCCACAATTTCCCCCCTTTTGCTCTATAGGGGTGACAACTATATTACTTGCTACTTGCAGTTCAATTATATATGATTTTCCTACTTATAAAAAATAATATTTATATAACAGTATTCTGGTCAGTACGCGTACGCTCGTCATTTTCTGTGACATTGCTCTCTGTACTTACTGTCATTGCGGAATCAAGAGACGGCACTAAAAGTTAAAAGATAATTTTCTATATTTTGGCTTAACATAAAATATGCAACGTCTTCGTAATAATTTCACTCCGGAAGAAACCAAATCTTTGAAATTCAGTCATACACCAATAACACACCTGTACTTAATACACAAAGGACTTAAACCAGCGAGAATGCATCGCAACATCGAGCATCCAATAACAGCTATGTCCAGGACACCTATGAGTAACCAATGAGGCTTCTGATGGGCGGGATAATTTGGATTCTACCGCCTATCAGGACTCAAAGTTGTATGGTCGTCCCTACACGCGAGCTGTTCGAGGTATCCGATTGGTCGAACGTCTCGGAACATACATGTCGTCATAGATAGTCTTCGAGTTTATGGTCTAAAGGACGTAGTGGCTTCAGGTTTTGTGTGAGAAATCAAAGAACGCTTTAATTTCCGTTATGATTGTTCGTCCAGTTTGATGAGTTTCTTATATTGAGTAGAAGCAGAGCTGTTAGGTACATTGTATAATACACTACGAAGGAAACGAAAGCCTCATCTATAGGCAGGTAGTCTATCATATAAAGTTAAGTCTAAATTCCATAGTTCGAGAAAGTATCCCATAATTATATATATTTTTATAATAAAATAATTGGAATTGAATTTAAAAGATGAGCCCTCTTTGCCGCATCAGGGTATTTATCCCTGCCGTGACCCGGATTCGAACCGGGGTTGCTGCGGCCACAACGCAGAGTACTAACCACTATACGATCACGGCGAGCTACCAGAGGACTTGTGAAGTTTCTTTCTAAAAGGCTATAGATAATCCAACTTAGGTTCTCTATTATAGTGGTGTGAGTAAATAATTTTATTTGACATTTTTTGTTGAAAGATGAATTATGACATAAATGTTATATTATGTCTACATCTTAATTTTTACCTATGTAGTAATTTAACCCTTTTTTGTATTTTTACTCATAGAACATCGTTTGCAATTTTTATTATAACTTTTGTGCTTCATTCTCATTATATCGTTCTGAGACCCGACCTATTCATTTATGTCCATTGTAATAGACATTGTATTTTTGCATTTATTTTTTCACTGATGTTGGGAAACGTATTTATTCTTGTTGTGCACTAAAGATGACATGCTGTGAAATTAAAATAAGAATAAATTTGAAAAAATCTAAATTGTAAGATGTCTTATTTCCTCCAAAGACAAATAACCTACAATTGAAGGACACTTTTTCCCTTGGGTCCCAGGAGGATATAATTACAAAAGCAAATTCAAAAAAGTATTGAAAATATTTTCACTATGTAATATATCAGGGGAAAAAAAGAGCAATTGCAATCCCATATGGTCTAGCGGTTAGGATTCCTGGTTTTCACCCAGGCGGCCCGGGTTCGACTCCCGGTATGGGAATGTATGTTTTACTTTGTTTACATGTAATACGCGAATTGAATTGTGTTTTTTTAAGTAGGCATTTGTTACTCATAGATAAATGTAATACTAGATATATATTTTGAATTGTTAGCTTTCTTGAGTTACTGTTCATACTTATACTAGCCCTCCACACCCATTGGCATTGCTTATAATTGATTAGGTTATTGGGTTAGCCGAAGTGACCTTTTAACACCCCTAGTCTGACCTAGAGACCACTATGTGCAAAGATCCTCGCTGTTCATATACATGACTGTTTTCTGCTTGGTTACCTTTCCGTGAAGTTGTCCCTTGGATCACCATATTGGGTCACCACTTCATACTCCGATTCGACAGGGGGTGCTCATGTACCTCAGTGAAGTTACAGCGGCAGGCACGCCGAGGAAGCATGCTGCTTCTGCGCGTTAGATGATGAGGAAGTACTGTAGTGGGAGCACAATCAATTGGAAGTTTCCGGCTGTCCAGAGGATTATTGTGCCGCGTAAAATGCGAAATAAACTGCTTTGTATATAAGAAGAGAACCGAGCGGTGGACGGTCCTGGATGCGACTGATCTTTGGTTAAACGGATTAACGGAGCTTGGTTTCCACGATGAAGGACGATGTTTCCCTGCGTTTGGACGGGTGTCTTCTGCGCTTCATGGACCAGCTGGAGTCGCTTGAAGAGAAAAGGCAGAGGTTCAACTCACTCATAGAGCAGGTGAGTTACGGTTCAAGTAGTGACGTGCCGTGTTAGATAGCTACACATTGCATTTCACAAATAAAATACTTCTAACATTCGAAAGATCAGTTTGATATTTCATGTTTTGCCTTGGCAGCCACGCTAAACACATTGGTCATATCCTCTCGCACCACAGGGCTGGTTCTCCATCTCTAAGGCGAGGTACGCCATGGGAAACAAGCAGGTCTCCGCCCTGCAGTATGGCAGCGAGATACAGCCGCAGGTGCGCGTGTGTGTCAGGTACTGCCATGCTTACGTTTTCTTCAGATCCAGGTCAATCCTGTGGGCGGCATAGGCGTTCGCGTAGGGCGCCGACTTCTGAGGGGGCGCCGACATGCTTCCCAGTTCCACTTTGCCTCGGACGCCGGCACTGTTGGTCGCCTACATCGGCTAAGGCCAGTACTGGTTCAGAGCCATGTAGTGAAATTATGTACTGACAGGTAAAAAAAGAAAATTGGGTCTGATTAGATTTAATAAATAAGAATGTTTTATTTTAATATCATATAAAGAGACAAAAATTAAAAAATTAAAGTCACTAAACCACACAGGTTTGTGATTTGGCTGTTGTGGTATCCCCTGACTTGGCCAGTGGAGACTTCACGGTTAATTTTTAGCTTCTTTTTCCAAGCTGTATTTTGGTGCCTAGATTACAAGGCTTCTGTGAGAAAATTCAGGGTTGAACCAAAAATTTTTTACATTTCAATGGATAACTTTTTGTGCGATTTTTTGAAAAGAAACCACACAGGTTGACAGAAAGCATAATGTGCATTTTCATTAGTCCAAGCCCTTCCCTGAACTTTGGAAAAAGAGACTTCGCAGGAGTTGAATTAAACCATACCATGAAAATTGAGCTATAGTTAAACCATGTAGCTGCCACAGTACAAAAGTCAGGTCATAAGAAAACACTCTGAATTATGTTTTTTTTGCTACCCACGGTGTAGAAATGGTGCTGTTTCTTAAAGGGAAATAAAAAAGAACAAAAAAAACAATTATGGTGTGTAATTCACATGAGAGTCCTCAAAATCAAAGTTGTGATTCAAAGGCCATTTCTTGAATTAAAATAGTGACCCTGTACGAATAAAGTACCTAGTAAAACTGTGGCATCATTAGATACCTCTGTTTGAAAGGGAGCTAACAGGCGGCGTGACTGAGTTTCAAGCCGAAAGGGAGGAGACCCAGGGCTCTGAAGATCCAAAGACTAAGGATGATGTTGAGGACTGTGGACCGATGGAAGGAGGTATATTGGGGGAAGTCACAGCCTCGTGGCTGCTAATCATTTGCTTTGGGGTCCAGCGCATATAATTTGCTCAGTAAGATCATGTGGTCTAGGTTTATGGAGGAACATTCTTGGTTGTATTATATTATGCGAAAGGTCTGAGGAGAAGAACGACGGCAAAGACTAAAAACCCTCAGGAGGAACCGGTCCCAGTAAAAGAGTGCGTGTCCAAAGATGATGTGAGACTGGAGAGCAAAGGACTGCAGAGGCATCAGGACCCACTAAAGTGGTTTGGAATCCTGGTCCCACAAAGCCTGAAGCAGGCGCAGGTGGCCTTCAGGCAAGGTGGGTGTGCAGGAGCATGTCGCTGCCAGCGACCTGCTACACGGGCGGCCATCTCTGTGTTTGAGTTCACCAAGCTGCTGAATTAACCACCTAAGCTAATCAAACGCTTGTTGAAAGGTCAGGTGACAATATAGATTCCACATAATGTTATCTGGCTCGCGTTTCTACAGTGATCGAGCTGTCGGCAGAGATCGCGGCTCTGCAGGGCGCAGTGATCTCCACCAGAGAGGAACTCCACAACCTGTTGGAGGAGAAGAGAAGACAGTCCCACTGAGGATGACCCCACACAGGGAAATGGCCCAGTCTGCCCATCACAGGAGGCTGAGATGTTCAACAGGGCGAGCAAGATCCTCACATTGATCAGCAGTGTCCTGCAAAGAACCCTGGAATCTTATTTCTATAAAGGAAAACGGCTGGATCCTGTGGGTTACTGGAGAACAAGCAAACCTGTAACAGGTCCTTGTAGCATGAAAGTGTGTAAATTATGTAATCTATACAAATGGCTGACGTAGCATTAACCAATAAATGTATATGAAAAATGAATATTTGTGTGTTCACAAAACACCCGTCATGAGGTATTTTGGGATGCAGGTATCTTAGACACGGTGCACTGTGTAAACAAGGCTCTACCTCAAACTGCACCTTACGGGACAGAGATTAGTTAACTGGGGCTTGAGGGCTGTTGCCTTTGTCAGATGCAGATTCACCACACTTTCAGGTGGAGAAAGAGGACAAAATACCCATATTTCAATTTTATTAAGACCAACAACAGTGTATTAAATGTGTTTGAATCTAAGCTGACATTTATGGTGATTATACAGTCACAAAAAGAGAATACAAAACAGCACAGTCTGACAGAACAAAACTACATGGCACATTAAGTGTTTTTTGCAAGAGGTGAAATAAACATTGGTTTAGTTGGGGAAAGGAACCATAAACATGGTTTTTTAAAACAAATCTCCCTTTTCTGATATGTGTAGTGCACATTCTGTCCATCAGAAGCCTAGAGGGGGATGTTACAAATGCCACAATAAGACCTAGAAGCCAACAGGAGATTGTATGTCTGACCTGGGTTGAGTTCATTCAGTCTGTCTCCTTTCAACTACACATCACCACCCCCTTTAAAACCTTTCAAACCAGATTATACGACAAACCCAGCAAAGACTTCCCAGAATAAATGGATCAGTCTACTGTCAGGTCTAAGCTTAAGGAAACTAAAATGGTAGTCAATGGAAAAGGACGTTAAATCAAGCTGTGACTGACGGCAAACAATTATTCCATAGACAGATTCAAACCTTTATTTTTACCGAGGTAGTAATTTTAGAAAGCTGCTAAATGAAATGCCATGATTTTATAGGTTGTTATATGTTTACCCAAAATACAGAGATGCAAATACTTGGATCGACAGGTTAGTTTTCACATTGCAAAACTTGAAATGAAAAAAAAAAATCATGTGACAATAAAAATACCCAGGCAGGTATTTCAAGCCATTTCCTGTCACCCTTTGATGTGTGTTGCAGAACAGCCATGCTCAGCACAGCACTTTCATGTGAGGGGCTCTAACACGCTCTTTCTGTCAGCCGCACACCGCAGAGGGACACCGGAGTGGAGCTGGTGACACCTTAGTGTGTCAGTGCGGTTTCATGAGCTGCGGGTCTCAGCAAGGAGAGCGTCCAGCAACTTCTCACAAAGAAACAGGCATCGTGGGACGTGGAAAAACCCTAAAATAGGTCAAAGTGAGCCTTTAACATAAACAGATCCAAATTCACACAAACACGGGGAGAACATGCAAGCGCCACACTCACAGAGCTGGGACTGGAACCAAACCCA